CAGCGCCACCAGGCTTTGTCATGCTTCCACCTCTGGTCCCAATGGGGCTTCCTCCGAGGCCATGAGGGCTCTGAGTGGGGACTTTCATCTCTGAGGGTGAGACATGTATCATGTCCTGACTTTGTTCTACTCCCTGGGAGTGGCTGTCGTGTGTTGCTGACTCCTGCTCAGCACATGCCAGGTCATACATATTCTGCTCTGAGTCAGAGAGAGTGGACAGCTGTGTGCTTTCTGATGGGGTGCCGTGCAGGTCCATGGTGTCTCTCTCTCCATCTGTGTCTGCGCTGTACTGACTCTGCTGTGTCTGGGTCTGTTGCGGGGTGTCCGTATCAACTCCATCTCCTTGAGACCTGAACTCTCACTCCTTGCTGATAGTGTTTGGGCACCCCCAATTGAGCTTTCTGGACACTTGTGTTCTGCTGCAGGAACTGTTCGAGTAGTGTCAGTATTTTGTCCATTTTCTCCTCAATGTGGTCCATTCGGGTTTTTGAGGAGTCATTTCGGGGAGCCTCAGCTTGAACCCTCGCGGCAGTTGCATAAAGGCGTGTGGTTGGGACCTGGTGTTCTTTTTCATAGAGTCTACGAGCATGTGGGTAGGACACGTCCCTGTCAACCTTCAACTCGCAGATCTCTTTTTCTCTTTTCCAAATGGGACACTGTCTCGAAAGGCAGTCATGGTCAGCTTGGTCGCAGTTTATGCACTTTTTGGCACATGGTCCATCATGTTTGTTTTCCCCGCATGTTAGGCACACTCCCGTCGACTGGCATCTCTCCTTTGTGTGCCCATACTTTCCACAGTTGTGGCAGATGAGAGGATTGGGCACATGCTTTTTGACTTTGTACTCCACGTAGTCAAACTGGAGCTTTGTAGGGCAAGATGGTTTGTTGAAAGTCAGAAGAATCGTTGGTGTCTTTTCTAGATGGTTACCTGTTTTTCTCATAAATCGCTTGGCAGCTACCACCCCGAACTCTGCCAACCATCCCAGGATGTCATCGTCGGACAGGTCTAGAAGGTCAAAAGCATGGATAGTTCCTCGGCTTTGGTTCAGTTTTTTATCTCTCTGGATCTCACATTCCTCACCCCCAAAAAGCCTGGCATTGATGAGCTTTTCGGCCTGGGACTGATCCTGGGTTTTGACCAGAAGCCTTCCATCGTTCATGAAACTGGCCTTCTCCACTTTGTTCCTTCCACCCAGTATCCCCCTTACTGCCTGCTGGACCCAGGGCCAGCCTTTTTCTTTGACAGGTTTACCAGACAGAAGTTTTATGGTAAGATACACCCCAGTATCCTCACCATCGTCCCAGAAACTTTCAGAGAAGCCTTCCCCTCTCACCCTTTTGAAGGCCCGTTTTGGCCCCATCTTCTAGATTTGCCCTACATCAACATGCAAACCCACCTTTCGCTCTTGTAGCTACACGTCAACCTTATTTGAACTCTGACCGCTTCCAACGAAATTAAAGCTCCAAACACTCTCGGAGTACTCTTAAAAAAACCTTTGTAGCAATAAATATCGGTCTACGTCTTAAATCTTAAATCTTTAAATAGTCGTGACTGAAACCCGTCCTCTCCGCCACGTGGTGCGCCGGAAACTCAACAAAATCCCAGCAAAAACCAACTAACCACCAATGAACCACGCATTTCTGAAAACATGCGTCAGAAGCGTCACCAACAGCTGATTGCAAGGAATGTTACAGCGACTAAATTATTGCAGCCGTAGTTAGTGCGAACTTGTTGCGAAAACAGTAAACACCGTTGTATAGGGCATACTCGTATTCATGTGCCATTCTGATAAAATTATTTTACACAACAGCTAAAGTTTTACTATTCAGAGGTTAATCACCGGTTAAGAAATAAAGAGACAGTAAATGCTAAATTAAATGTAATAGTTTTATAGATGGTCTTGGTAATGCTCTCCGCCTGGTCCTCTCTCGGCATACAAATAATAAGGATGTAAAAAGACAAAAGAAATAAATGCGACCAGCTACGTGGTTTTGTAACATGTATAACTGCCTTTTTGAGGCATTCAAAAACCAAGACAGAAAAATTGATTGTAAAATTATTATTGCGTCATTAATGACAGCTTTCCTTCGCCTCAGAGACCAAAATTGACGCAGTCAAATGCCCATCCTTGTCAGAATGTCGGAAGTGCGCCAGTATTGTATTGCGTTATGTTTGGGCCGCATGCCAGTCAATATTTTGATTTTTTGTAACTGTAAGAATAATTGGTGTGCTATTTTCGTAATAAAGGGTGGGACAGAACATAGAGTATAATAGGTAATCAATAAATTTGCATCAAATTTTGTTTAGCTGATAGCTCTTTTTTATGCCGACCAGACGCAAATAAAGTAACATGTGGTATTTGCTCTGATTTTTAACATCTCATTTAAGTCTGGGTTCTTCCATAATGTATATCTAGTGCACACTGCACATGGACTTCAGTTCAGCTTCCTATAAGTTTGCTTTCAGGTTCTTTTATGTTTTATGGAATGCTTTCATCAGCATTTATTTATGCTTTGTATAGTTTGTTGCTTGTACCCTGGTTTGGTCATTGCTAGACTGTGGATGCTATTGCTGGTTGTTTTCATTTTTGCATTTGAAATGTGCTTCCATGATATATTCTTATATTTGGTTCTGTTTTAAAAGTTGTTTTGATCAATATTGTATTGTTAACCTGAGCAAATGCACTTGGCATTGTGTTTTGCATCTAAAAAAGTAAAAAAATAAAGGTTCTTAAGTCTGACCGCCAATTACCCGCCACACGACAAGTTTTGCTTCTCGAACCCGCCAAAAACCCTGCGGGTTTTGAAAACCCGCAGAAAGCGGGTTCGCGGGCTCAAAAGTGGCATCTCTAGCGTCCACCTTTGCCGAGAGCCGGCACCGCGGGCCGAGTTACGAGCCGGCCCCACCACCCGCTCTCGCCGACACCGAGCCGCCGAAAAAGGTGCGCCTGCGCCGCAAATATCTCAATCGGACGCGGCTTGCCGTAACTCAACCGGGCTGGGGTTGCCGCCGGTGCCGGGGCCGGCAGATGGCTGGACACCCTCTCTGCAGAGGCGGCCGCTGCCGTGCCGCCGCCGGCCGCCGTGTCTGTGCCGACACCCGTCCGGACGGCCCACCTGACACCCCTGTCGTGTCCGCCTAATGATAAGTGCCGCGTAAAATTACCGCGCCGGCCGCCGACACCGGCCAGTCGGCTCTCTAATTCAGCGCCGAGGCCAGCGCTGCCACACTCAAACTGTTATTAATTGCATTGGTCTTCACGCCTGGCAATTGCACAGCGCCGTCTGGCCCGACCTGCGGCTGCAGCGAGCGCCGGTGCCCGGAGGCGGCGGCGCTCCTCCGTACTCCTCTCATAGTGTGGGAGGAGTCGGCCGGCGCGGTGGAGTGTGGCGGCGCTCCTACGTCCTCCTCTCATAGTCTGGGAGAAGTCGGCCGGCGCGGTGGACTGTGGCGGAGTTCCTCCGTCCTCCTCTTATAGTCTGGGAGGAGTCGGCAGGTGGACTGTGGCGGCGCTCCTCTGTACTCCTCTCATAGTCTGGGAGGAGTCTGCTGGCAGACTGTGGTGGCGGTTCGTCCTGATCACAGACCTCCATTGAGCGCGCCCACAGCCCGCAGCCCACAGGACCGCAGCTACCACAGCCCAGAGCCGCCTCACCACGGCCACACGACCTCAGTTCTGTCCCACCACAGCCACACGACCTCAAATTACGTGGGCCGCAGTCCCGCCCGACCGGCCACAACCCGACCCGGCCGTGGCCCGTGTGGTCGGAGCCCGTATGAGCGGCACAGACGGACCGAGTTTGTGACCCATGGCGTTAGATATGCACATCTCCGCCCCAACTTTCGCTAAACTGAGCTGTGCTTAGCTCTTTGCGTGCTCTATAGACTCGATACATCTTCAAGACACACGGTTCGTGGCGTTAAATGAACGTTTCCCTAATTAGACAATTTGTCTTCGCCGTGCCTTTTTACAAAATAATACCGATTCTTATCTGGGTAAATAGCACCGAATGTGCAATAAATGTCAAGCAAAACGAGATCACGACTTGATATTGTGTGACTCCCGTGGGAATAATCTAAATTAAAGACAAGTACGTATATTTCATCTCTGCAATCGTGATAGCTGAGCCAAGAGGGCACGATAAGTAATGCAGATGGCTAGTTTTGAGTTGAACCACCCTCACAGTGAAAATGCCAATACAGGCAAAAGACTACTGAGTGTAACACGGTTTAAAATGATGGCAATTGGCAAATGCATTATAGGTATCATGCATCTATATTCTTTTATTTTTGAAGTAATATAAAATGTAATCTTAGGAACCATGATGTGCCTCAAGGAGTTATTTCGTGGCCCTGAAAAATGTGTTGCTTGCCGTGCATCGCCGGCTGTGTCGGTGTCACTGTAACCGTCGGTGTCGGTGTCACTGTCGGTGTCGGTGTCACTGTAACCGTCGGTGTCGGTGTTACTGTCGGTGGCAGAGCGGGGTCGGGGGCGGGGGCGCGGGCGGGGGCGGATCCCACCGAGAAGTCGGCGGAACCTGTTGCCCAGAGATCACCGGTCTCCTCCCGCGCCAGAACGAGCCCGTTCCCGTGCAAATTGATATGGGCGAGAGAAGATGTTGCGCCATTACGGCCGGCCGTAACCTAAATCATGGCGGTCCCGTGTCGGCTTTATCTGGCAGTTTACAAAGAGCTACAGCGCTGCCGCACGGCGCGGCCACCCGACACCCGGAGAAGATCGAGCGACAGAGGACTCACAGGAGCACCGGCGACGGCAGGCGCGCAGCAGAGCGCTTTTCGACACTCCGTGCACGATAAGATAGCACACCGTGCTTTGTGTGATGACCTGAGGGCTACATGCTGAAAGCGACTAACGCCTGTGGGTGTGTAGCGCCGTGTCAGGTGCGCCACTATCGGTGCGTTATCGGTGTTTGGACGTTAGCTCGCCGATAGGGCTTGTGAGTCAGGCCGGCAGCGATACACCGATAACGAGATTCGACGCTGTTCCGTCAGTTGGCCGACCGCTAGCCGTGCTTGGGGCGACGACAAACGCAGTGTCAACCGGCGCACGGAGGATTTTGTGCAATAAGTGCGGATCCAGGCGCCGTCCGCCATGCCCGGCAAGGGGAACTACGTGGGCCCCCAGGAGGAGACCATCGTCTGCCTCAAGTACACTATCTTCGCCTTCAACTTCCTGTCATGGGTGAGCCAGAGAGCGGGCGGGTGGGAACAAAGATGGCGGCGTGGCTGGCCTCGCCCACTGGAAACGCTTGACAGCTGATTTGTGCAGTGGCTTAATGATCATGTTGGCTACGCCGGTGCCAGTATATCGTTCCGTGTGTCAATATTAAATCATTTGAATTATATTACGATGCCGTTTATCAGCAGGAGAGCGGTTTCTGCACCCCGCTCGAACACTGACTGCGCCAGCAAACTGGAGTCACTAACCGTGGCTAGATAAGATCGGAAACGAGCCATCTGCGAATAATACAAATCTTATCGGGCTCTAATGTCGAGTCTCAGCGGCACCATTTCTCCGATCCGCCATTCAGACACGGTTAATCGCGCTCTAGATGTTGAAAAAGCTCCTCTCTCAGACAAAGACAAAGGGATGGCGATTAAATAACTGTCACTTTCTTGCGAATACAAATGCTTCATTTGACGCCTTTGAGGCTGCTATGAACTTTCTGACACCGGAGCGGCTTTGCTCGGCTCCGCACCGCCTCAGCGCGGATTTTGCCGGCTCAGAGCTCGTCGGTCTTGGCTTCACCTGAATCGCCGCCAGTGATCCCCCATCAGACCCACCTCACAGCATGATCCGCAGTCGCGCCTCGTCCCACTGGCTACACGAAACGGCACCCACCGCCCCGGATGCTGCTATTACAGCACAGCGGAGACAAACTCGGCGCCGTCCGAGTCATTTCGCCGCCCCCGCCACCCCCGCAATACTAACTCGCCACATAGCCGGTGAATTCCGGTGCGGCTAACTGCGGTTTAATCAGCGACAGAAGACGGCAGTGGGATGAGAGCTGCGAGTCTTGGAGCTGGCACAGCTCGGGCCGCCGCATTACTGCAAGGCTGCTGCATAAGCGGATCTGCTACCGTCGCCGCCGAGAGGTCTGCCGCCGAGAACTGAAACTGAATCGGCAACTGTGACTGAGCAGACCAGCAGTGCTATCCCGGGCCGCAGCCGTGACAAATTCCCCGGGAGAACGACAGCCGACCCATGCGGGTCACCCCCGGTCCCCGGGGTATCCGGTCGGAGGCTATTTCAGACGGCTGAGTTGGCTGGATCCGATCGGGGGCTTTAGCCGCCGTCACCCCACACAGCACCGAGCTATAGCACAGCATTCAGTTTTCAGAGGGAGTATGATTACGGAGCGAGCGAAGCGAGCGTAGTCTTTCCTTAGATTAACGGAAATTTCTGAGTATGAGCGGCCGGCCGGCCGGCCGGCCGTGGTCACGCTTTTGCGAGGCTTATATCTCAGCAGCCACTTGACCGATTTACACGGGGTAATTTTTGTAGGGTAGCTTCATTCCTTCTGCCAAGTATTGGACTATTCCCGATGCATGTGGGTGACCCCTTATGCACGTGCCACGCGCAAAACGAAGAGGTGTCAGTTTTGTAATTGTTGCAATATCTCGGTAACTACTTGGCCGATTGCGCTGAAAGTTGGCATGTAGGTAGGCACCCACTAGGCACTGCATATCCATGTGCCAGAGTTGGGGTGCTGCTGCACGTGCGCACGTGCAGGGGTCGTTTCCAGATCTCGAGAACGGCTGGACCGATGGCGCTCAAATTTGGTACACGGTTAGGGACCAGTTAGTAGGGTGCCGTGCACAAGTCAGTTGGGACCCATGTTGCACGTGCGCACGTGCAGGGTGCCGCTCCCAGATCTCGAGAACGGCTGGGCCGATTGTGCTCAAATTTGGCACATCGCTAGAAACCGGTCAGTAGGGTGCCGTGCTAAAGTCAGTTGGAGGTACCCCCTCGAAATTTCGCACGTGCAAGACTCACCCCCTCGCTCGCTCCGTTAGTCGCCCCAAAAGGCGCTATACTGGTAAAGATATTGAGTCGCGCTCTCCTACCCACCGCCGAGGACTTTGTCATTCAGCTTCTCCGGAATAAACTTACTCGCACAAGGTGACACCAAGGTGTACCCGATGAGGTGTAACTTATTATGAGAAAGTGTTCCACGAAAAGGTTAGCGGAGCAGGATTATTCTCTGGATCGGTAATCGCCACTTCTGTCGAGCCGGCCCCTTATCACCAGGTCTTATGGCGGAACGTTGCCTTGCAGTCACCTGGCAGCTGTCAGAGCCGACAGCCGGCAACTCCGCGGACATATCGGCTTAATTAAACTCTTCCCAAGGCCGCCTAACGATTCGACAGCTACCGTGACGGTGACAGAGCCGAGAGGGGACAGATGACAGGCATGACAGAGGCCTGAGCTGGTGAGGAGCATAACCGTAAATCCAATGTAATAGAACAATGAAACGTAGCCGGCGACCACATAACCTTTATTTTAAGCGCTGCTCGTCACTGCTCATCTTGCCATTATTTTGCTCATCATCGAAATATGATAGCAGACACCAAACAGATAGACTGCTATATTTACAGATACATGCTCACTTACTTTGAAACATTCTTGGGTTTGGTCACGTCCCTAAAGTGAGATTCTATGTCGTAGTCTACCAGCATGGCAATGAAGTTAAAAATGTCACAGTCATGACTCACTGTCCCAGAATGCATAATGCTTCTTTTAGTATTAACCCTCGCACGACCAGGCCATTTCTCATAACACGAACGACCAGGGGGGGTTGTTACGACCCCCCCCCCTGGCGTTTCGAAACGGAAGGTCGTAGAGCTTAGCGGAAAAAGCCAACGGATTGCTCTCAACGAGATCTCGCGATTGGTGGTATATTTTTTGGTCCTAGGTCAACATTTGACCTACTTATGACCGGTCAAAGGTCAAATTTTCCGAAAAAATCAAACTTTTTCAACTTTTCGCGGCGATTGCGGCAAAACGGTCGGAGATATCGACTTGAAACCTTCACTATCGTGTTTCTTGATCAATTCTCTATCGTTTGGTATGTATTTCGTTTCCCTAGCTCTAAAAATGGCGCGTTGGGAGCGCCGGAAGTCGGCAAGGTCACAGTCGGCGGCAGAAATTCGAAAAATCAAAATTTAAATTTTTGAAATCTGATTGTATTTTTGGATTTGGGAGGTCCATTTGCTCCCTATAGAAGCTAATATTGCTGCATATTCCCATTGAGGTGACAAGAATAAGCAAAACAGTGGTTCGGGCGCTTTTCAAAAATAGTACCGGACGCTGTTCCTCTTGTGACGTCATAGCTCCGTGACCTGACCTGACCCGGTCAATTTTCTTGCACCACACGATAGCCAATGCTTGCCCCAACATGCATGGGAAGTTTCATCATGATCCATCAAACTATGTGGGTATCACCGGCAGAAAACCTAGGGATTCGGCGCACACGTTTGGTAACTGTCGGCCGGAGGTTGTACCTCTTATGACGTCATAACTCCGTGACCTGACATGACCCGATCAATTTTTTTTTGTCAAAAGATGCGCAAAGGTTTCCCCAGAGGGTATTGAAAATTTCAGCCCGCTACGACAAGCCGTTTAGCGTGCACTTCGAAAAAACCTCAGGGGGGGGGGTTGATACAACCCCCCCCCCCCCCCTAGGCGTTCTAGGGCTAAAACATTCTCGAGTCTGTTACAACTTGAGACTGTAAAGAAGAAAACAGTGGGTCTCTGAATGCCAACTCCGTGTGATGTTGCCATATTGTGCTGTCGGAGCACAGTTGTTCGTTGGTACATAGTCTCGGTAAGTCGGTCTCATCCTGCCGCCCTTTCCGGCGGCATTTCCGTGTCCCATCAGTCGTGATCAGAGCTCCAATGGCCTCCCAAATGTCGACACAAAACTCCCCGGTCCGGGGCGGGTGTTGAACAAAGTTGGGCACGCTGGAGGTCGTGAGATGTGACGCCATTCTCAGCCATCCTGCTGTCAGCCACGAATCTCCCGGGGCTGAGCTGTCGCGGCCGACCTCTCCGTTCAAAGGGCTCGCATGCCCCCCGGCGCCCAACTTCGTGTTTGTTGGACCAATGAGCCGAGTACCACTCAGGTAACGAGAGAAGTTAGCGGAAATGCCGCGGGGCTGCTGGACATCGAGGGCCTGCTCTCATTTGTTCAGAGGTCACTTCAGGAGTACAGGCCAACACAAAAGAGCAGCCCGCCTTCAATCCGTGATTGAAAAATCAGGTTTCTTGACAAGTCTTAATGTCGTTTGGGATGTTTGGGCCGATGTTGAATGTCAATCGTGCGAGCGCCGAGACCCTCTGGTCACAACACCTCCCGAAGTCGAGCTTCCTGGGTCAGAGCTGGCACTGGCTGGGTGATCCAATTGTTGTAGGGTGAACGGGGCGCCGATCGATGCCGATTCGCCGGACGTGACCTGTGCGGCCGGTGGCGTGCCTGGTCGGCGATTGACTTCAATAACGTCTCCAGAGTGTCTGATACTGTCGGGACTGAGCCGGTCCTTCCGGGTCCGACGAAAAAGCAGACAGACCGCTGACAGAGGAGTGCACCACTCTGCTGAAGTCCACTGCACATTACATTTTGACATGATAAAATGTGTTGCTGGAAGGGTCTGCATAAGAAATAATGCTGCTGCGAATCGGGAAATGAAAGTTCGCTGTTACTTTGGTGGCCTTTGCATTATTTGGCAGAACAAATACTTTACATAGAGTAAAAGGAAAATAGTTTTGATGTTTCATGATTGAATGTTGCGGTGAAAACTCTAAAACCGTGGATGGCAACACCAATGTCTATAGAGCCCGCTCGGAACATGTAGAGTCGACCTAACAAGCTCCATTCAGCAACGGATTCCGCCAAGAAAATTCCCCGGGAACTAACCAGGCCCGTTCGCATCTGATGTTTGCATGCATTCAGTCATGCCATTGCTGACACTCCTTCACTTTCTGCCTGCTTAGACTCACTCCCTTTCACTTAGTTTCGACGGTTCGTGCCTAAAGCTGCCCAGCTGGCATTGTTCCAGGGCGATCAATTGTGCTGATTTCGTAGTTCGTGAGCTGCATGCGTCTTATTAGCCAGACATTGTTTTAAATTTAGAGGCAATTCACGGAGTACAGGGGAAGAAGCCACATTCCATCATGTTATGAAAAATAACATTTCAAACAAAATGCATGGACAGAGTTTTATTTTCATCAACATTTAATGATTATACCTCGTCCTTTCATAGCAACTATCCGGCATCTATTATAACCCAATCGAACACAGTAGGTACAGACCTGGATTTGGGCCGAAACGCTTCGTCTCCAAGGGTTTCGACTTTCGCAGATGGAAAAATAAGCAATGCAAGTTACTTTCAACGGCATTCAAACGACGCATTGAGTTGTAAAAGATAAGCGTATAATGCCACCCTCCTTTGAAAAAAGATAACATATTTTTATTGAAGCTTCTGAAAATTACTTACATTCTCAAAAACAACATTGTAGTGGAATGGTAAAATGTGTCTTGCCCACGGCTTCATGTAATGTGCAACGTTAGAATAACATTTTATTTATAATATTAGCACCACTTTATGTATTTGTGCATTCGTAGAAACAACTATCGACACGAGAAAGTCAGGTGTGCGATATTTCGCCGCCTGCAAAACTCGCTGAACTAACATTCCTTACTTCCTGTGGCATTCATTGTGCGGACTGTTATGTGTCATTACAATATGGCACCACATAGAAAGAAAGGAACTCTAGACGTGTTCTTAAGCTGTTACAAACCACTGATATACTGTTACCAGTATATCACCATGCAGGCAGTACACGCTAATTAAATCAGAAAATCAGGAGTGTGCGGTGATATGCGGCTTCGTGACATGCACGGGGTACAAACAAAAATTACCATTACCCGTTCTGTAATGGCACGGCCCGTGCGCCATGGAGCTCTGCTCCGGTGGTGCGGCCGTGCGTGACGGAAAGCAGTAACGTGATGAACTGGGCGCGTCACGGACCTCATAACTTAATTCGGGTAGTGCCAACTCATCGACGGCAGCAAGTATGTGCCAGTAGAGCGACGGAAGCGCAGCCGAGCTGTTCATGCGTGTACATAAGTCATGCATCTCACTTGCCGCCTGCAAAGAGGCATTACGCCGAATAGTTGCTCTCTTATAGAGCTTCACCTATAAGCATTGTGATATTGAGCAATTTCGAATGAAAAATATGTCTAGACTTCGATACAAAAGAGGGCTTCGGTAGCTATACCAAATGCAATTTTAACCTCTAGGCAGAAATCACTTATGTTCCGACCAGATATATTATATTTCAGCGGGATGAAACAATTTAAAGATAAAATTCACAAAAAAATAGAACATGTGATTATTTACTTACTACACTTAGGCAGGGTGAACGCTTATTGCTCACTACCGCCATCGTTCTGCTTCCATTACCACCCCGTTAATTATGAAGGCGCGAACTTCATCACACCCATTCACATTGCGATACTCTTCCTGTCGACAGCTGATGGGAGCCATCATTTTCGCCCTGGGTCTGTGGATCCGATTCGATGAGGACTTCCAGAAGTGGGTGAAGGGCCTGGGCATGCAGCACTACTGGACCGGCATCTACATCCTCATGTTCATCGGCCTGATCGTCATGGTGGTCAGCTTCTTCGGCTGCTGCGGCGTCATCACCGAGGCACGCTGGATGCTCAAGGTCAGACGGACGGGATGGCTGAAAAGAGGAGGGTTCTCCAGCTTATTCCTAGCGGCCAGGATGGCCCGTCGTAATGACAACTTTGAACTACTTATGCTACAACTTGCATAAATTTACATTATATTGCAACCGTATTAACAAATTTATATTGAAACTGGCTAGCTCCTTGTTTATATTCATCATATACCTAATCGTTGTCATTTTTTATGTTATTGAGTTTGAATATCTCAAATACAATCAATGAAAGCAAATGGCAACGAATTTGCTGGGGCACCAAAAGTTTTCAAAATTACTAAGCTATTGTTGATTAAATTGCGATAAAAATGACGATGTCATCTGTCACCACAGATCAGTCTCACAGTCTCCCCCTTCCCTCCCCCCCCCGGCACCCCCAGGTTTTTGTGCTGCTTCTGGCCGTCTGCTTCGTTTTCGAGATGGCCGGTGCCGCCTACACCCTCTCCAATGGCATCTATCACTCCAAGATATACCCGTGGCTACAGAACCAGCTGACGGGCATGGTGGCACGCTACTCCTACGACAAGGATGCGCGCTGGGTGCTCGACATGATTCAGGTAACGTTGCGACTTGGGTTCGATTCCCGTCGCTGGCAGGTACTTTGCGACTAACGGTTTGAGTTTCAATGCTGAGGAAATGCAAATGCGGTTAAATTTAGATGCACAATCAAATTAATCAAGCGTACTTCGTTTTGTTCATCAGCGCTCAAATTGGAGCGTTTATGGTTATTTTCTCATTAAATTTTGTTGGTGCATTCATTTTCATCATTG